AAGAACCCAACCAGTAAGTGAGACAAGGGATAGACCATGGGAAACAGGAGGGTTCTAGGGAATAAAATGTTGGGATCATGAACCCCAAAAGAGGCAATTTGTACCATATAACACCTCCTACAACTGAATGATCACCTCAAACAGATATTTTGTTAAATTCCTGTTTTCTCCTTCTCAAAAGGCTGATTGGGATAGGAAGATTGAGATGGAAGGTAAAAAAAAAAAGAGCTGTGTGAAAGCCAAACCACCTTCAGGAGCAGTAGAGGTTTTAGGGAGGAAGGACAAGTCTGGATATAGGATGAGGAGGTATGAAACAAAAGGAGCAGAATAGGGGGGGAAATGACAGGGGAAGACAAAAACTTGGAGAAACAGAAGGTGTTTGAAAAGGCCATCTGATAGCTAAACAGGGATAAGTCTTTGTCAAACAATCAGGTGAAGAATTGGGAAAGATGAGGAATGGAAGGGTGGGAAGGATGCAAACCATGCCAAAAAGACCAAAAGCAGAAGATAGACTATCGGCTCTGCTAAATTGACATGGAAGAAGGTCTTATAGATTGGGAAAGGAAACAGCAACATGTGGAGTCAGTCTCTGGGATGATGCAACGGATATAACAAAAGACATGCAGGAATAAGGATGGTGATGTCTGGATGAACATTGTTTGACCTAGGTTGACAGATTATGGATTCAGACAGAGGTAAGGGTAGGGGAGGTGGTTGCACAAGCAAAGGTTAACACTTTGGAACCAAGATTGCATCAGCAAAAACAGAGCCACCAGGAGGACTAGACATAGAGTGGTTTAGTTTAGAGATAGAACTCTGTTGAGGAGTCGATTAGGAGGGTAAGCATTGATGTGAAGACTCCCCAAATCTTGACGAATGCATCTACCCCAAGAGCTATTGGATGTGGAATGGAGGACCAAAAGGAAGGAAGTTTGTTGTTCCAGTGGGTGGCAAAGACATTGATATGAGGTGTCCCCAGCTGTCCCACCCGTGCTGTTTTGTGTAAGAGTATACAAGTGTGGTCCCTGGATTGTGAACGAGAAGAAATGAGCAGGAGCCAGTTGTCCATGTAATGACAATGCAAAGACCCAACAAGTGAAGATGTCAGGCAACAGTTTTTACCACCCCACAAAACACATAAAAGGCCAAGGTTAGTCCAAACGATAGTGCACACACTACCAGATGCCAAGCAAGCCACACAGATCCTCCTGGACGGAACATGGTGGTGGTGGGAATTTGGATTTCGTACAGAGAAAAAGTGTTTTTTCTCTCACTCGTCCACATACTGACACAAAAGTTCTTACGTTTTTCAAACAGTCCTTATCAGGACTAAGTGCTTAGTTTGAACAAAGTGTTCTGACCCATTATTACATTACAGTTTGTGACTACTCCATACCTGTGTCATAAACAGACTTTCTCAAGTCTAACTAGCCAAAGTGCATTTCCTAGTGCTGCCCAGCCATCATGAGTGTGAGCTGTACTAGCAAGAAGAAGAAAACACATCCAACGACCCGCTCCCAGGGTCAACCACTTTCTGCTTCAGAGCAATACAGCCATTACTTATGATGCCAATTCGGACTCTTCCTTATCAGCCATCTCAACTATCACTGCCGCATCACACAACTTGCCACTCCCCAGCCTCTCAAACCCAGAAGAACACAGACTCCGCTCAAACCTCAAAACATACACCTGCCATTGTTGTCGAAGAAATCCCAGCAACCCTCAGACAACCACAAGTAGCATCAGAACTCTGCCGCCTTTTTCCTAGCATCACTTTTAGCAACATCCACCGACTACCCCGAGGAGGCATCATCATCAAGTGCAACTACCCCAAGGATTACTTTATACTACTGAAATCATGGCCCACAGATGCATTCAACAGTTGCCCTATCAAACCTAATGTCCCAACAGACAACGAGCCTGATGAAAACCCTAATCATCCAAGGCATTCAAATCGACACTACAGACCTAGAGATTGATGAAGAACTCTGCTACAAAGAAGAGAAGTTTCTTAACTTCTCTCGTATTAAGTCCTCAAAAACCCAGGAATTTACACCACTAGTCTGGATCACACTAACAGACGCCAAGCAAGCCACATAGATCCTCGAAGACAGCATCACACTTTGGATCAAAAGACTCAAGCTGAAAGAACCAAACTTCTCGAGCCCACCAGTCCTCCAATGCTACAACTGCACTGCCAAGGCCTGATGTGTAAGATGTGCCAGTAAACATCAGGTCAACGAGTGCCCAAAAAACAGAACCAACACGACATGCAGCAACTGTGGTAGACAACATGTGGCCTGCTACCACGGTTGTCCAAAATTTCAGTTCATCGCGGGAAGTAGGGCAAAGCTGTCTACACGCACACCCTGACCTCCCACACCTTCCATGAGCCAGCATTTCCCACCCCTACCTCAGCACCCACAGTTCAACACCAGAGCTCCCAACTAGCCAGGACCCCAGCCTCCTCAGACTACCATCACCTTCGCCTCAGTAGCCAAGCATTCAACTCAACAAACTCGGCAACAACAAGCACCTACAACAAACTGGCAAGTTCTCCACCCAGCCGGCCTAATTGCCTTCATCGTAGATGTCATGTTGCCAACCCAGAAGATGACAAAGTAACTCAGCCCACCATCATCTCAAGGTTCAAGGAATCACACAGAATCACTAAACGAACAAATCTCAAGTTGGTTTCCAGATCAGTGTTCATAGGTAAGTCACACAATTCTTTGACTTTATTACATGTTAACGTTCAAGGCGGTCTCAGCTATAAGAAGTATGAATTACTAGATTTAAGTAATAAATTAAATACCTCAGTAATTACCATTAATGAAAGCCTACTAAACAGTAGCTCTAATTTCCACCTTCCAAACAACCAAGGTATTTCTAAGCCTAAAAGTATACATACTAGAGGAATAGCACTATTACACGAAAATAATCTTGATCTAACTCTCATCAACCATATCACACCTACTTATCACGAACACATATTATGCAAAATCAAAACTCCATCACTACCCGATTTTACCCTCCTAGCCATTCACATATCACCTTATACAATACCTGACATTACCTTTCTAAACTCAATAATGTCAAAATTCAACAATGTCATCATTCTCGAAGACCTCAACTCTTCTCACCCCCTACTTCAAGGATATACCACAAACACTACTGGCAGAATTATCGCTAATTTTACGCAAATACATAACTTAACAGTTATTAACAATAACTCTACTACCCACACACACACACACACACACACCACAATGGAACATAAAGCATCATTGACCTCGCCATAGTCCCACCAACAATCGTACACCTTACAAATAATTTTAAAACTAATGAAAACATCAGAGGAGACCATAATCCTCTTTACTTCCAAATCAGTAACCCTAATTGGACACTCTCCAATAACCAAGACCAGCACCCCAAAAACAACCCCAATTTTAAGAAAGTTAACTGGTCCTTACTTAATGAATATTTAGACAATAACTTACCTGATCTTGTAACATATGCTAACTCCAAAGACGAAATCAAACAATACTACCAGAACATCTCACAAGCCATAATCAAAACCATAGAGCTTGCTTGTTTGAATTTATGCACAAAGCTACACAATGGGCTATCTGTGCTCTGCCCACCACGGGTATCGAAACCCGGTTTCTAGCGTTGTAAGTCGGCAGACATACCGCTGTGCCACTGGGGGGGGCTCAAGACCATAGACAAGTTAGTTCCCCAAAATTACACAAAAACCTCGCCTAACCATTGGTCACTAACACCGAAACACATAAACTAATTCTGTCAAAACGGAAGCTCCATAAAAAATTAATAAACACCAGAAACCCATATTAACTCAGTCAAAAACGAAATAGAAAAATTCATTAAAATCCAGCAAAATGATAATTGGAACAACTTTTGTAATAACCTCAATAACCTTAAACCTGACCCGTCTACCTTCTGGAAAACATTTAAAAGTTTATGCCGAAAAAACAATGATACAGGCAACATCTCTGACGAAAACCTCACTGCCGCTACCAATAAGCAAAAATCAGATCTATTTGGACATTATTTCGCAAAAACATTTGTTACCCTGCAGAATGCCAGATTCAACAGTAAGCACCAGGACAAAATAAACTTCTTTGTTAATGCTAACACTAAATCCTTTTCTACCTTTCTCCCGGTTAATATACACCAGCACCACACTTCCAGTTCATCACAGGACATATCTACCCCTATAACCACACCTGAAGTCAAAATCCACCTGAAAAATCTCTAAAACAAAGCTCCTGGCGAAGACAAAATCCCTAATATAGTTCTAAAGAATGCATCCCCCAAACCACTAACACATCTCACTAATCTATATAATCTATTCCTTTTCCCTGGTTATCTCCATAATTCATGGAAATCAACAGTTATTCCAAAAAAAAGGTAATCAATCAAAAAATCCAAGTGACTTCAGACCCATCAGCTTAATCAACTGCACAGGCAAACTTTTAGAGAAAATTATAACAACAAGGTTATTATGGATGTTAGAAAACAACAATACACTGTCACGCATTCAAAATGCAGGTCGCAAAAACAGACAGACTGCAGATCACCTTATACATTTAATAGAGACCACATTTACTGGATTCAATAAACTACAAGCCACTATTGCCACTTTCCTAGATGTACACAAAAGCTTTTGACATGGTCTGGCACGATGGACTCAAATACAAATTAATGAAGTATAAAATGCCAACCACATTCGGTAAACGGATTTCTAACTTCCTAGTTAGTGGATTTGTGAAAGTCAAAATTAATACGTCACTCTCACAACCCTTCACGTACAATGCAGGTGTACCGCAAGGGTCTGTCTTATTAAGCCCTTTGCTATATACTCTCTTTGTTAACGATCTACTGCAGCCAACCATGCCCCTCACGCACGCCTCACAATACACCGATGATTTGGCACTATGGAGCATCTCCTGGGACCCCCCACTAATGGCAGAGAAAATTCAAATAGCCCTTGACAAAATCACACAGTAGTGCAACAAATGGAGAATAATACTCAATCGCACTAAAACCCAAGTCTTCCGTAGGTTAAACAAAAGACTAAAGCATGTCAAATTAGCTAAACTAAGCCTCTACAATACCCCCACTCTTTCTCTAAATCTGCAAAATTCCTAGGCATAACCATCAATCCTAAACTAACATGGCACACACATTAAAGGAAATAAGTAAGAAAATTAAAACCAGAATACTTACCTCCACAAAATAAGCCATCACACTCACAGATACAGACCATAGATAATAATGTACATTTACAAGACGTTTATCAGACCTTTAATAGACAATGACTCAATGGTGACTTGTAACATGAATCACAACCAATGTTTGATACTTCAAAACAGAGTAATATGTCTTGCCCACCGCTTCCCTCACTACACACCAGCTTGCTATGTAGAAAAATACACCTCACTACATATAGTACAAGAATGCATATCTAAACTTGCCACCATATATTACAAAAAAGCCACCCACCAGAACTCCCTCACAGCCGAATTTCATAAAAATGCCACAATCTCCGAACCATGGTGTAAATATCTATTCCCATACAACAGGATACACAACATCACTAATACACCACCTGTATAAATACAGGTAATACCTGTAATACACCACCTGTATAAATACAGGTAATACCTGTAATACACCATCTGTAAAGGTAAGAAGAGTATATTATTCTATGTATAACTATCTCACTTTACAGTCTCTTTTCAGATCTTCATCCCTTCAATAGTTTATCACTCGGGCACTAGCCGGGCTTTTTTTTTGGTCCTGACTAGTGAAAGTGGGTTTTCTCAGGGTACTTCCGTTTCTCCCCACACCAAACTCTTAAGCACTGGATCTATAGATCCCAGCCATGGCACTTGGATCCATTGATCCCCGCCAGGCCCTGTAAAGCCCCATTTGC